AAAATGAACGATAATATTGCAGCAGGAAGTCGCTAATTACGGAACAACTGGCCACGTTGACATGACAGAGCAGCGCCACAAAACCAACATGCACGTGTGAATGCGCATAATCTCCACTGATCACGCAGTGGCTTTCTTTCTCCAGTACATGGCCGACAACTGGTGGTCGCGTTAGAGGAGGGTGTGTATAGGGTGATTTTCCGTAAAGTCTTGAGTCCAATAATAACAGCAATAGAAGGCAAGTTAAGGCAAAAAAGCATGAAAGCGCCCCTTCTAATTACATGAGCCTGTCACTCATGCTGCTGCGTCGGCAGCGGCGGCGGCAATCACCAGCACGGGTTCTCCAGCCGCTTTGGCTCATGACTAACACTTTATTTTTGTTCTTTCAAACTGCGAAATGAATATTAATTTCGATTCCAGTCGGGTTTCCTACATTTCTTTTATAATGGTACATTATTTAGTAAATTCCGCGAATCGTAGCTCACTCGGAGATCGTCATTTACGAATAGAATTGGGATTGCGCCACAACGGAAATAAATGCTATCTAACAGAAAAGTTAGTTATACATCAGTTAACATTCATTGCCGAAGATAAACCCATGAGAGTTGTTTGTCGTACACTAATACGGTTGCATTGCACACCCGGCAATGAAATACTGTCTAAAAAACGAGTGATAGAACATCACAAGGTACGGCTTGATAAAGGTGCAAAATTACACAAAAAAATTACAATGGAATATGCTGAACGTAACTGTTCCAGGTAGCTATTACTAGTAGGTCGAATTCTACCCAGTAAATGCGAGATATTAGTTTTGATTGCTCTCATGTGGATTTTTGTAAAAGAATCTTAAGGTTGACCTAGGTAGGATGCATAAACTTTTAAATAGAATATGTAATGATCTATTTATAAATCGTTTGAATTTTTTCGAATGAAAAAATCAAGTTGATAATACTGGACTAGTGCACAATGATTTATAAAATTCAAGCGGCTAACAAAGTGAAGTGAGAATGAAATGCGCATACCAATTAGGGGTGTTTCCCCCCAAAAAAACAAAACATAACAGCTGAGGTACTCACCAGTTATTCACTTGCAGAATGGTTAATCCCGTGTCTTGGGCCAACTGTTTCTTCTGATCCTCGGACGGGTATGGATGCTGGAAGATAAAAAATTTATTAGTTGGTGCATAATATGAAAAAAATGATAGTTAAGATCATGAATGCGTCAAAATGTACGTTCAGCACATATTATTACAACACCTTTGCTCTCTCTTACGTATCATTGTAAATAAACCACATCATGATGATAAAGAAGTAAGTCGTTATAGGTCCTTCTAAAAAAAGACTTGCAAGGATATGCGTGATTAAAATTACATTTCTACTGATAGGTGTACGTCGAAGACGACTTGCTCTTTATAACAAAAAACTAAAAGTGTTGCCAACGTAAAAAAATATCCTTATTTCGGAAGAGTTTAGTTTGGCCCCATCAACTTGGCCTCATGCAGCTCCAATCGTGGCTGGTTAAATCCATCATAAACGCTATCAGTAATTAGCTAGCAAAAACCGCAAAAAAGAGAGCGATTAGAGAAGATCAATAAGGAAATGTGGCTATTGAAAAGTCTTGCGTGATGACCGGCGCACGATGCAATCAAACCTCAGCTCTTGCTGTCCCTGCGTGATGCATAAACCCAACGCAGCGCATTAAACATGGGGTATATTCTCAAAACTTATACCAGCCTGTCACTTAAAAACAAGCGATGTAAGCAACACCTGTCAGTTGCTTATTTTCATGTGAAGGAGTTAAAACTGTATTGGGGTCATACAGCGTCAATCGTCGTTTAATGTTCCACGTGTTGTGTGTAAGAAAAGCTTGCGTGAGTTTTATTCGTTTCAATAACACAGCGGATAACACAGTTTTCAATAACACAGTTTTAACAGCGTTTCAATAACAGTTCACTCGATGGTGAACAAAATCTCTGAAGACACGAACATGAACTAGGATTAATAAGAAAACAGGACATCGTGGAGACCAAGATTCATCAAGGTATGAGAGTTAATTGAGTTACAGCTGAACGTAGATTTCTAGGCGAGAAATGAAAGAAGCGAGAGCAGGGTGAAGCGGATCACGCAATTTGGGCTTTAGAGGGCCGATTGCAGCGACAAAAACAAGGCAATGCACGCGATCTACACAGCGCTACGAGAGGTTTGCATGAGGACGAAGAAAGAAAACGTTTTGCACGTGTTGAAGCACGTCATATTTTAGTGTTACTGTAAACTGCAGCCAAATTAGGCATAGGCTAGCGGCGGAAAAAGTAGTCGGATGTTGATACTCAATAAAAATTAAAAAAAGATTAGTGTGGATTGAATATCGCCCAATTAAGAAACAATGACAGGGATAGGCAAGTAGGAAGGCACAGCTCAAATTATACAATTTCATCTGAGCTGATTAGATTCAAGTTTTTTACGCTTCCATGCATTGCTATTTGTTCATTTTGCTCTTATGGCATCAACCAACTTCGGATGAATATGAAGAAAATAGAATGAAATTTCCATAGAAAGATTGTCAAAGGATACATACGACATTGCAGTGAATAGAAAACCATTACGATGGTGAAGTGTTATTTTTTTAGGAGTATCCCTGGGATTCTATTGAGTCGCTAGAACTCGTTCTCTCCTAGTATTTCCCCTCTCACTCTTGACACTGACATATCACACACTCACTGCCCTCCCGTCTCCCTTGCATCACCCCTCGTGGTGGTGAGAGCTGTGCAAGGAGGGAGCGATACAAAGACTCGGGTTCTTGAACAGTGAATCATATCATGAATAGCTGCAATCTGTACAAAGTTCTCTCATCTTTTCAATTAATTATGTAAGGACCCTTCCCAATCGAGCACTTCATTTCAATAGTTTCCCAGGTTGAGCAAATGAGACTCTCACAATTACTATGAAGATAAAATGTAAAAAAAAGTCAACAGTGAAACTGATACATTTTCGCACAAGTTGAAGCTCTTCAACGAACGTGATGCCATATACCAAAACTCGCAGAAAATCCGTAATACATTGTGTTAAGTGGAAGTTACTGACACAACAAAACAACAAATTTGTCATGGAGAATGATGACTAAAGTCTCCATTACCAATAAATTTGAACGTTGCCTGAATATTACGGGCATAAAGGTAAATATTCCACGAAGAAATGCATTCCCTGAACATGAGAGGGAGCGGGAGGCAAGGGATGTGAGAGCGGGGGCGATACCCCGAGTGAAGGTAAGCAAGGAGCTGGTCTAATGGAAGAGAGGTGTCGCTCTGCCAGCCTGTCGTTCACCTGTCTCGCCACACACACTCGCGACACTTACTCTATCTATAATACGCGCCTCTTAAACGCGCCCTTTCCCATCAACTGTCGTTCATGCTATATTACCGCATTTATATGCGTTCTTCAATTCCCATAACTAACCTAAGATTTACTGGGAATACTCTGAATGATTCAAATTAAGAGACTTCGCATTTATTTTGCAGAGGGTAATGTCAAACGCCTGTAACTGTAAAATGAACATCGGTATCTCAGAGCTAAAACAGTTTGAAGTATGAATTTGAAGTAGCATATCTCCATCACCCAAAATATAAAATCAAGAAATCTATTGCAACGAATGAACAGACAAATTTCTTCTCGGAAATAAACTGCCAAAAAAAGTGTTAGGTATTGGATCGTTTCTTATTGCAATTGACCTAAATAATTCCCTGTAAATTCCCTGTATGGAGCTATTGTATATTTCGATAAAAATATTTCCCAAAAGACGCATTTCAAGTTACCAATTTAACGCGAATACATTTAGGGAAGAAAATTTAATAGGATTCGCAGGCTCGATTGTATGATTTGTTAAGCCTCTTTGAAAAAAACTTTCCTCGAGATGAGATGCAAATTTCGGTAATTTGAATTTGGGCCATTTTAACGAGCGGTGCAGCAAATAATAGAGTGAATGGAATTTCATTAAGAGGGCACATAGTTGGCAGTAATGAGGCAGTCTTTCAATTAGTGGCCGTAAATAAAACGGCATACATTCGTGGGACATCCTTTGTTTAATTTGGCGAGTACTGGAACAACAATGGCTGCAACTAACAGCAGCATCAATGAAGAATTCTTTGCCACAAAATAGCATCCAACTACAGCTATTTTCTGGCCACACACATCGACCGTGTTATTATAAGACGGGAACTTAAGTCGAGAAGAAATCAGGTCACTGACATTTTCCCAAACTTCAGTTGATAAATTCAGGTCAAGCGACATAAATATCAGCGATGATGAACGACGCCTGAGATAATCTAAGCCACAAATGCAAGTAAAAGTTATATATCAATGGCAAGTGTGGAGTCGCTATTCGAAACTATAAAATTCGAACACAGCTAGAGGCAGACATGAGTATGGGAAAGTGTGAGATTACATTTATAAAGATAATTTATTCATCCAACTTCATATGATCGATATAAAAAGAAGTGAAAGTTCGAACTTAAGGAAATCCAAAATAATTGCGACAGATACTTTTCAGTGGTATATTTCAAGAAAGTGAATGATCGGGACAGCGTTGCTATACATGAAATCTTGCAAAGCATCGCGCGGTGAGAGCAGCGGCAGCCTCGGCATGGGGTTCTTCCATACAAGGGGCTAGCAGTGACCCCAAGCGTCTCTGCTCCGTGCATTATGGAGGGCCACTAGAGATCATTTATGGACCCTTTATTTCCTGCTAAATGCACATCACTTACAACCTACGGTCGTAAACATTTTATCATACTCTTAAGTCCCATCAACTGAAGCCAAGACTGATACAGAGAAATAGAACAAATTTGGCTAAGCTAAGTTTATGAATTCGATTAATCGAGGATTTGCAGAAAGAATAATTTTCAAGTTGCGTACATTCAGAGACAAAAATTAAGAGTACCGAGAAAGTCGGCCATTTCAATTGAACCGAAAAGTTAATTGTTTCTAGAGGATCATAAATCAAGTAAATTTTTACTAGAAACATATGTTTCGTTATAATATGATTTCGCGATGCATAACGTATGCATTAATAACGGGAGTTTCTCCTGTAACGTGTGTGTTCTAGAGGCAACTGTTTCCAACATGCAAGCTCATTGCTTATGTTTTGTACCCCCCATAAGAATGTTTATTCCCGATGTGTGTGTGTGTGATCTTTTCTCAATCCAGTACGTATTGTGTAAATATGAGATGACTCAAAGATTCCTCCAATAAACCGAAAATCGGAACTAATGGTTTGAGCGACAGAAGTGGAAAGTGTTCGGACCACTTCAAAACGCGAGCACCATTAATAATGTATGGCTCATGCAAATCAGATAAGGCCTGCGAGATGCTGCACCAGGGAGATGCCTTCAGATCGCTTTCAAAATACATGCCATACAAAATTCAGCTTCGAAATCTGAATCATTGGCGAGAGTGCATGCAGGTCTCTATATTCTCTTAGGTTATATTTGTTTCCTATTTTTTTCAGTTTATATGCGAGTACAGAAAAATATTCCGATGACTCAATCCTCGTGTGCAAAATATAAAGTAGTTGTCACGTTAAACTGCCTAAAGAAACTTCTAATGACGAACAAGAAATATGCAAGTAAGAGATGAAAATAAAACGATGCTTGAATGAGCATGAAAGGGATCGACACATTTGGGAGACATCTCAATTTGAGGATTATTAAATTTTTTCCCAGCCGAAAGAAGGCTTCTTTATTTGAATCCTCGCAGAGGCCGGCAAGCGTCTTTAGTGAAGGTGCAGCGGAAAGTGGTGAACCAAAAAACCCGAGCTAGTCGTACCAACGAAGAGCGACTGTTGGGTTGTACCAGCTCCAGCAGTCAAGGACTAAAATGCATCTTTGATACTAATGCATAGACTGATGCAAGTGCTTGACAGGTAATGCAATTTCTGCCCTGACCTTAATACTCTTTTGAAACTCATAGCGATTAACAGAGTTCCGATGAATGTACAATTTCCAGTTAAAATGTATACAATAGATGAGACGTCGGAAATTCGAAGGACTTTGGAAACGTTAAAATTGAAATCAGTTTTATTCTTTCCTCGCTGTCTGCCGGTGCTCTACGGTCAACAAGTTGAGCAGGGCGCTGAGTTGTCAGTCTTGAAGTTTACCATCACATCAAAACAGAAGCCAAAAATTTCTCCTAGAGACAGAAGAGCGAACATCAGCTGCAATTTTTACACGAGATTCCAAGACAAACAGAAATCTTACAGCAAGTCAACAGAAATGGAAGCAAGTTCAAACACCGCTGCTCCGAAGATCACCAAAGGTTGGCAACCTCAAGACGGATGACTGTTGTCCAGCAAACAAGTAGACTGTACGCCGAGCCGCCTCTAAAATGGCTACCAGCCATCAAACACAATGCTTATATTGAAGCTCTAAAGCAACTTCGTGTGAAATACAATTCCAGCTTCCACATACCCAGTTAAGTCAATGGAAATTCAATCTAAATCCAGATCTAGCAACGAAGATTCAGAGAAACAAAACAAAATTTGAAATACATTTTGCTAATTACCAGTGAATTTTAACGAGAAAAAAATGGTTGAAACGGATGGGGGTATTAAATGTAATAAAGATTTTGAAAATAAGCTTTTGCAGTGTCATTTGGAGCACTCGTGTAACGAACATTATTTTACTTTTATTCTGTTCATTTGTAAATTATAAAAGAATTTTATGGAGAAATAATTAGCAGGGTCGACAGAGGGAACAGCAAGCAAGGCATAACCGAGAGCGAGGCAAAAAACGCGGAAGGGAACCGCGTTGAGGTCCGCGCACGCCCTCTGGGCAAGCCATCCGTCTTGCACTCTCGGTTTGAATATTTAGTTGGGCAAGCACTCGAAGAGGCAACCAACTGAAGAAATGTGCCTGCTACGCGGAACACAGCGATAGTGCATAGTCACTCTTACACACTCATGATCATCGTACATATAGAAGCACTACCTAGACGAGTTAGCTCTCTCTTTCTCTGCATTGTTTACTAGTAACCTCATATTCGTATTATTTTAAATTGAATTTTTCGTTCAGATTTCACATTGGGCAGAATCTGTCAATATACCAAATCTTGCTTTATAGTTTCTTGATTTAGCTTCACACAAAATATTCATGAAAGTGCATAAATTTATGATAGATGAATGATTCATACGAAAAATATCCATAGAAACAAAATATAGCAATATATATGTGTGCAAATTATAAAATGTTATAACATAAAAAAGGCAAAAAACACAGCCCTCATCCTCAAGGCAAATGAGTTGTTTGGAGTTGATTTTATAAAAAACACCGTATAATAAAAGTTATTTCAACGTCAGATGCCTGGAGGAGTATAGGCTTTTAAATGAGGTATAAACATAGAACTAAGTGAATTTGTGGTACTGTTTAGAGTTGAGTTAGAAAAATGTGACTACAGTATAACACGAAGACTTACTGTGAGGTGTTGGAAGAGCCACGCTCGGAGAATATTGGTCGCGACTTTAGGGAAGATGCCTCGCTTTTTTTGGTTCTTTTTGCTTCCGTCTTCGTCTTCTTCAGTACCGTCGCCAGAGCCTAGACTGGCGTTACTTGCGTCACCTGTAGCACCAGGAGACCAGGCTGGTGTGACAACAGTGATCCATGTCAGTCAAATACAGAGCGTCCCTAGAAGTCTAGAGGACTCGTAACGTCCTTAATGGCTACCGCATAAACCAATTCTTCAACCAAAGCCAAACTTAGTGCAATGAAGCCAAAACTTCTGTGAAACCAAATATCATAAGAAAACAAAAACTTTGTAAAGAGGACAGTAAGTTTAAAGTTTAAACGAAATGGAGAACAGAAATAATTTATATAAACATAACCAAAAACCAAAATTGTTAGAGCTAAAATAATTCACAGGATAGAGAAATAGAAAAACAAGTGAGGGAGAAGAGGGGAGTTAAAGATGCATTAGGGATGAAATTGGAAATATAAGACCGGAGAAGCACCAGAGTAGTCTTTTAGAGATGTGAATTGTACATGCACAAAGATGTTGAATGCGAATTGAAGAGAACGAGACCTCATAAATTACTACTGAATAAATAGTGTCTCTCTGTGTGCAAGGATGCTGCGAGATCTGTAAGCGATTCATGATCGTGGGTGAAAGTCAGTTCATGAGCTATACACGAGTAACGAATAAAACAATATACTATCTTTGATAAATGACCATTAAATTGTGAAAGGGGTTCAAATTCAATAAGAAGAATGTGACAAATTTTGCGATAAATGATTTTATCATTCTAACGAACGAAATTTTGGCCGTGAAATTTTCGCCAATATATCCTAAACATTGCGAAACAATAGAAAACAATTTTATAGGATACAATATGTATGTTATAAATAATCCGCAAAAATTTCGAAACATCAGTGGCCAATTCGAGTCGTATGAAATAGAAGACAAGCAGGCTGCAATTCTTACACTTGGTGCTTCCGCAATCGTGAATGATCATCGCTCTCTTGGATCGTTCATCAAGTTTAGGGTGCAGATCTGCCGTGGAAGATCCTGCTTCCTCAGCTCGTCCTCTAATGATACACTTACCAGGCATTCGACCTCACCGCTCAGGCCAATAATCGATATGGCTGAGAAGTTAATGTATTTCTAACGATCCCTACGATCTTCCTCAAAAAATCATCGAACGATGGAAATTTCCGTACTGGAAAAAATATTAGGTCAAAAATTCCGATGCTCACAGCTCGGTTGCGAAGATCGAAAAACTGTAAAAAACAGTGAAGTTCACAATCTCCAGGAATATAATGGTAAAAAAATAATTGCTAGTAAGAGAATAAGGCATACGGGACACGAGCCATGCACAAGTGTGGCGTCAATAAGAATATAATTTTCAGTGTCGGAAGGATTACTTCTCGTGAGGAAATTGCAAATTTAAAATGTGGAACTCGTTTTTGAAATCCGTACTATTTATTGGCATTCTCTAGCAAATGTTACGGAAAGGAAAAACGTAGAATTAACATTGCAAAACAGAGTATCGGGGAAAATGTTGAGAATTTGTATCCGTAAACTTTTCCGCGTTGACGATCGTTTTCTTTATAAATACCGAAGAAACGTAAATGCAATGCGTTTTTTTAAATTATTTGCGCCAAACCTACTGCACAGATCGACTCAGTTTTTTTTATGGAGATCTCGCAATACGCATCGGAAACAGCCATAATTCCGGGTCAAAAATAATTTGACGAAGATGACTATGCTCGGGGAAGCTATTAGCAAGAACCAAAGTGAGGGCGAAAATAGAGGCAAAGCTGAACCAACAAGGTCGTGTGTGTGGACGCGTATCTCCGGTAGCCGCTCGGTCAACACCATTACCATCGTCTCATCAGAATTGACGCTGTCAACTGACACTAAAAAAAATATAGATTGATCTTAGGCAAGCTAGGACTAAGCAAAACAATATCAAAGCGCGCTGAAAGAAATCGAATCGAGCGAATGAAATTCATTCCATATGTACCTAAAAATAGGTCTTATAGTCAAAAATAATATTCTTGAACGAATTTATTCAATGAATAATTAAAATGAAAATCGCGCTATCGATAAATTGCAGAAAAATCTGGTACAAACGGATAAATACACATCGAATGCGGTAAGGGCACGGGCGAATCGAAGCGCTTATAAATTACAGACATGCATCATTTACGTAATGTACATGTCACGGGACCGCGTTATCTGCCCGGAGTGGCTGCGAACACATCGTGGTGCATGACACAGCACGCATCATGAAGATGATGTCACCCCGCCACCAGACTATCATTGCAAGCAGTAGGACTATAATAGGATTAAGCCGCATCAATTGGAATAAGACTCGTAAGCGCGAGAAGTCCTTCTTAACATTTATAAAGGACATCACATGAATAGTAAATAAAAGAAATGCTTCGAGTGTTAACAAATATGATAAACAAATATGATATACATTTCATTGCACGACATAAATAAAGTTAAACCAATGAAGTTGGCCGATGTAGTAGTCCGGACACTAAAGGAAATGAATTAAAAAGCTAACGCATTTGAACTAACGCATCGTTATTAGAAAGTTGTAAAAATTATTAGAACGAGCATCTCGGTATAATTATTTACCCAAGTTGTCATAAGCGCGCTTTAGCTACGATTCTCACAAAATGACGATACGAAAAAAAAAAATAATAATCCTTCTTTGAAGTCATTTCACGAAAGACTGAGAACAATAACTCATTTATAATTTGAAGCTTGAAACTAAGCTTGAACGAGTTAAACATATACAACAAACGTAGGAGAGATAGAAATCTTAGAACATTCTTTGCGTACAAACATTTTTGGCGAGAAAACGCATTCTAGATTAGAGAGATACCGGTACGTAGCACACACACAGAACATAGAGATGGCATGAGCGGCACGTGAGAGCACATGCAGGACGGCCATCCATCATATGCTGGGGGATTCATCATAAGGAGATGTTGAGCGTGTAATTGTTTGTCACTTGTCGCACAGCATGGCAGGGGGCACGCCAATAAAGCCCAGCTCTACTCGCGCCCGTATCTCTCACGCGTGACCTGCCCGCACCACTGCTACGCAACCCTTCCGTCACTCTATCCTCACTCTCATTTGATCAGCATTTTCAATAAAAATTTATGATCATATAATTTAAACAGTTCTGAATAATTTTTCGGAGATTTTGCACAGATTTCATTTCATCGTGCATTTTTTGAGGTAATGAATATATAAATAAGGATATAAATTCTTCATAAAATGAAAACGAGTGCTTCGTCTCAGCACCTATATACAGAGAAATTATGACCCTATGGTGAATAGTAATATTGACTAGAGAGGAAAGAATATAAAAAATATCGACAAATAGTTGGGAATACTTGATACCTAAACCTTGACTTGCACGTACAGGCAAAAATAATAAAAGTTGAAGTGGCAAGAGAAGCCTCGGACCGCAGGGTGCCCGCTAGAGCTCAGTGATCAGTCAGGCACTTCGACGGCTGCTATGGCTTTGCTAGTATCTGGACTCATGCCCAACATGCGACAGCGATGTTGATGTGAGCTAACATTCACCTCAACAGCTTCAAAGATCCTTGCAATCAACGTAATTCTATCGTATCTTGGGAAAAAATTGACAACCAAGTACTATTAGTTCTAAGTAAATCTGAGTGAGTTTCCAAGTGAGAAGATCTTTCTAAATCTGCCTGATAATTACAACTTCCGAGTTTCACGAACAATAATGAAAATGGGTAAAGTTAATTCTAGAGAGAGAATAACACTAGGAATTGCAGCATCGGGCTCATTAATGCAGATCTGCTAACGGTTGTCAGATTATTCAAAACAGGACGGTATTCTTAGAATAAGGAAACCTTTCACAGTCTTCCTTCTTCACAGTTTTCCTTCATCTCCAATAATGCTACTACCGTCTCTTGACAGTTACACGTTTCCGTACTCGAGAACGCCACAAACTATTTATGATATTCGTCTACCAGAACATTGGATTGATTGGATAAGAAGGACTTGTGATCTTTTCTGCTACAGGCAAGTGAAACAGGATAATCTCATAAGTACAATAAACCCAACTCACGTAGAGAAAAATAACTGCCGAAAATAGCCGAAACAACATTTTATATTTTGCAGCAGAAAGTATCGCATATAAACACTAAACTCTCTATGACATGATTGTTCGGCACTGCTGGGTACTTATGTATGCCCAGTTTTCGTTTTTTGATCATCAACCGAAGACAGGAAAAACGAAAAATAATTTTACATTATTACGGAAGCTATTAAGTTGGAATAGTAATGAACACCGAAAAGTGACTTGTACATCTGGCTCATGAGAAGCTAAGTTAGTCAATAATTCGAAACCAAAAAATATTCCGTCCTGTATTTAATCAATAAAACCAGTATAATGCTAATCCATTGACACTGAAGAAGTTTAACCTTTAGAGTAAAATCATGCGAGGTGAGAGTTAATATTACGAGGGCTCGTATGATAGGCGAGCAGTGATGAGCGAGTCACAGACAGGCAGGCAGCAGGAGCAACACGAGAGCAGAGGCACCACGGCAACAAATGGACGGCCTTACAATAGGTTTAATTAGTGTGAAGTGAGAGTGACAGCAGCTAGATTTAGGAGAGCGAGAAGAGGAGGCCGCCGTCTCAAGCGATATAGAGACTTGCAAGATTGCCTTTCGACCCAGACCAATATGAGTCGGGTGAGGGAAGGTTCGTGACCAAGAAATAGAACATCACGATGAGAAACAAGGGAAGATCTGACGAAGAAACGGAAGAAGATTCTACAGTCAGTCTGGGATAGAATGAAAGCCCTGAAATAACATACGCAGGTGAGAGAAATTAAATCAAGCTCAACGGAAGGAATGTTCGCAAGGAAATACTAGGAGGAGAAATCCTAGCAAGATGAGCAAAAATATGTGCAAAAATCAACAGAACAAAATATATGTGTAAGAGCAAATAAGGTTCAAAATGTAAGGAATGAGAAAAAGTCCATAACAAGAATATTAACAACTAGATTAAATAGTGTTTGGCAATCAAGAACTCGAGCAAGTCAGACATACTATAGTCTGACAAACAAATGCAGTAGCAAAGTAG